AATATTCTTTATTGGTTTTACTTTATCTTCTTTAATCATGTTTTTTTTTCGCGTACAGGGTATTTACAATTATTTTCTTATCATATACTTGCAATATTTTAACATCAAATTTGAATGGATCCTTGTTTTCGCACTATTCATTTTCTTCAGTGTGAAAGCAAGGAATCCATTCAAACTTATTGTTAAAATATTTTTGATATTCTGACAACAATTTAATTGTAAATTGTCTGTACTCGAAAGAAAATATGATAAAAGATCTAATTTCTAACTCTCTAATTTCATTAGTTTAGTGTATTACTTAACCTGTTTACGCTTAAATTTATTTTCTCTTTTACTTAATACAAGACTTTATTTTACATGAATCTAGTTGATGTCAAGAAGTTTACAAATATACAACTTGAAATTAAAAATTTACATAAATTTTAAAATCGTTCAGTAGCTGCTAAAATGTCAATATTATTTTTAAAAATCTTATTTAAAAAAAAATTTAAGAATGTTGTTTTAAGTGTACTTTAAAATTTATTATTTTGTTTTGAATTCACTCAAGTATGCCTCTATGTGTACCTACACATCGCATAGACAACAAATAATTATGTGAAAAGAGGAAAAAGAAAGTTATTTTCTTATTTCATAAATAAGAAAAAATATTTTTTTTTTTATTTTAAATAGTTTTTTTTTTTAATTTTTTAAGTTATTTATAATTACTTTTCATATTTATATGTCAAAGGTTACCTACTGATAAAAATAGTTTTAACAAGACTTTTATGACTATAATAAAATGTTTATACCTATAATAAAAGAAAAACTCAATTTTAGCTTCTGTGCGATAATTGAGGGTTGCTCGATCTGTCTCTTAATGAACCTAATACTTTTTTTTCTAAGTTTACTCAATAATATTACTACTGCAAATTAAAATCGTAAAAAATACAGATTTGCTATAGTTTTGACATGGACACATTTTTGGCGTTATAATATGCAAATATACAGAAAATTATATTAAAATAATTGGAAAATTCTAATATAAATAATTACGTATATAACATTTATATAAATTTCAAATTTCCGTTTATATTAATATTTAATTCAATTACTTTAAGTGTTTTAATCAATTCAAAATAAATTTCCGCAAATCCACAGGAGATTTAAGTGTTTAGTGAACAATTTACTGAATTTATTATAATTAATATAAAATTTGATTATTAAAATTATTTTCTAATAGTTTTAATATTTAATAGTTAATAAAATATATTAAAATTAAAGATGGTATAATAATCACTTTAATTTACAGAAATATATTCAAATGATTGAACTTTTAAAAATTAATTAAAAATTATAATAAGATTAATTCAATCAATTAATTTTACAATAAGAAAATATCTAAATAAACATATGTATGCAAGATTTAAAATATTTTAATTACCAAAATAATTAATATTATTGTTGATTACTTTAATTAATCATTAAAATATTTGCATAAGATTTGTATAAATAAATAAGATTTACATGTTCATTTATGCAAAATCTTTTAAATAAATATAAAATTTTCGAAAGATATTATAATTTATCAATTAATTATAGTTAATTATAATAAAAATTTTGAATGCACATCCTGTATTCTATTTTACTTTTTGAAAGTTTTGATTAAATTAATAATTTATATAGTAACATGGAAGTATCTATGTATATATTCGTTATAAATATAGAAAAACAAATTATGGCAACCCTTCTTATACCACTTTACTCTCAACTTTGAAATAATTTTTTTTCACTTAAAAATAATTTCTATTGGTATGTAAACTTATAGGTTTTTATTTTTTATAAAATTTTTTGATCAAAAAATAAAATTTCCTTTTCTAAAAATTAGTATTATTTTGGTTGCTTTTTATTTGTATTCTCAACGAAGTTAGGAAAAAAAAATGATCTTAATAGTTTTACTTCATCCGTCGGGCATTTGTTTACATATAGAAAATTTATATTTTAAGGTAAAAATTTGAAATTTTATTACTTTTTCAACTTATTTTGCCAAACAACAAAAGATTTCAAAAACCATAAAAAAATATGACGACTTGCTTCTTCTACCGTAAAATACTATAGAGATCAATGAATTTATGACTTATTCCTATCCTAAAATGACTTATTCCTACGTCAAAATGACATATTCCTATGCTGAAATGATATATTCCAACGCTAAATTAGAATTTTCCTACTCTTGTCTAATTTAGTTTTCTTGAATCCGCTTGTTTTATATATTTCAATTTTGTTCAAATTAATAATCTACTTCTTATGCAAGCAATATCAAGCTATACCTTCTCAAAATTGATTAAGTTCCGTTATTTGACAGAAGTTCTTTTGAAACTACGACAATTCTTTTCAAACTTCATTTGAAATCCAAAATTAACGGTAGGTATCTTCTTAATTCCAGTAAGTAATTTCCTAAGTTCGATAAATTTCATTAATAAAGTTACATACTATTGCTTCTTGGTTCATTTCCTAAAAATATGCAATAAAAATATATTTTATATTAAATATTAAGAATAATGCAAACAAAACATTTTTTTTTCTGAGTATTTTTAATTGTACAAAGGAAATGTGTTACTTTACAAACCATTACTTTAATTTGAATTTATTATTTAACTACTTTGATGGAATATTGAATGTTATAGTGTGTTGTTGAAATAATTGAAAAAAACAAAAGTATAAACAACATAATTGCTTAAATAAACAAAAAAGTGAAGTAAAATGAAAAAAGAAAAAAACGAAAAGAACAAATATTTCAAACAATATTTGAACAAGAAAAACCCAAAACGAGAAAAACAAAATATATGAATAACCATGTAATAATTTATATTTTTCGATTATTAAACATTAAACATACTTACATACAAATCAATATTTTCATATACACGTTTACATACTTAATTTTAATAAATTAAAGTGCTATATGGATGTGCATGTACACGTATATGTATACAATTTTAAAGGGTCCTAGACCACTTGATTTGGTTTAGATGAATTTTGTTTTTTTTGTTTGTTTGTTGATTGCATTTTTTATGTGCAACGTACATGTACGTAACGTATAAATAACCTACAAAAAATTTAATTGAAATTTCTGTTGATACGCAAACACATAATAAATATTTTCATTTATGTATGTAAGTATGTATATGCCTATATGAAATATGTATATTAAAAAAGTTATGCATACAAAAAGGCGGCAAGTGCTTTCTTTTTACTTTCCTTTACACTTTTGTTTTATATTTACTTTTTTCTTTTAATAAATTTTATATGCTAGTCGCTAATACAAACATTAATTTTCAAATGTATTTTTATCGAAAAGAAAAACAAAAATTAGTAAAATAACATTCATAACAAAAAATTTAATTTGTTAACGTGTCCGTCCACTTGGCTGTGTAATTTAAAAACAAAATGTCTATTATTAAGGAGGATCAATAAGCGCAGCAAAAACTGCACAACTAACCATAATATATATGACACGTTATTGTAAATCCGAATATTTTTTAAAAATTTTACCGATAGAAATACAAAAAATACCAAGCAAAAATAGAAATACCAAATATTTAAAATAAGTATCGCCCATTAGTCTGGGACTTGTAATCCAAATTCGAATGCGAGCACAAAAAACCAATTCGTTTGGTTGAAGATATTCAGATTCTAACAAATCTTGTGTTTTTCAATAAACTTCAAGAATCGTAATTTTAAATTTGACTTTTCCTTTGCTACCCGGATTCCTGTAAACTGTTTCTCTCTTTTTGATTTTTATGAAAGATGGTTGTGTATAAATTTGAATTGGTTGACTAAAACGAAATTCGATTAATCTTAAATATACAAAATTCGATTAATCTTAAATTGTATAAAAATTAAGAATTCTAAAATATTTTATATGTATGTATGGATTTATCCTGAAAAATAATTATCACGCTCCATTCTCTAAATATCCCCCCCCCCCCCCTTTTGATTAGAAATTTATTTTCTGTTTGTAAGAACTTTCTAAAACAATCATACATGAATACAAATATATATTATTAAATACATATTGTAAATGCGTGTATTGTAATATAAACTGTTATATTAATGTAAATATTTAAAAAATAATGGGTTAGGTTTCATAGAACTGGTAAAGGTGTATATACAATATATTTTTTCAAAATGGTAACAAGCTATTTACATATATAAACAAATATTGGGGAAACTATTACAAGAGAACTAAATTTATTTTATTGATAACAATCTATAAGTAAATTCGTATTTACTTTACTATATATTATATATTTAATATGTGTTATAATTAGAATGAATTCATGTTATATAGGGAAAAATTATTTTAAATACAATATGCAGTACTGCAGCTTGCATTATTTTTAAGAGAATATTTTAAACATAAATTAACATAATTTACTATAGATTGAGTGAGAATTAAGAAAACTTTTGGATTTAAATAAATATCTGTACATATTGTAATAAATTCAAATAAATTCAACAAATTTACAAATGATATTTTAGGTATTCTCTTTTTCGCAAGATTTTTTAATAAAAAAATTTGTTTTCGAACTAAACTTAAGCAAAAGTTTAATGTAGTACAAGTAGTCAAAACCCAAAATTTTGAATTTTTTTTTTAAATTTTTCAACTCTTTCTAAATTGTGTTAAAATTTAATTTACGTACCAAAATAAGCACAATAATGTTTTCAACACATTGAAAGCTTTTTATTAAAACAAAAAGGTTCGTGACTTTGCTAAATATTCACAAAATTTTATCCATACCTAATAGCAAAATATTTTCAAAAATAAATTCACCACATTTGTATATTTCATATTTTTTCACCTCAAATATATTTTGGTGAATAGTATATTTGAGGTGAAAAAATAAATATAAAAATGTGGTGTATTTTTCTTTAATTTAATAGTTACGTACTGAAAATAATATTTATTCAATTTTAAACATTCGTTTTATTAATACAACATTTTATTTTCTGATTTTCAGGGCCTTTATCAGAAGCACAAACAGCAGTAGGATTAGAAGTATCAATGCCATGCGATTTAACACCCGGCAATACAATTCCTGACACAACGGATAAAGTAACACTTGTCATTTGGTATAAAGAAGGGCTTGTAAAACCAATATATTCGTAAGTTTTCATATTGAAAATGCTATTTGAATTAAATTAATTTTAATTACAATTCAATTAAATCAAATTATTATACAAAATTATAGTTTTGATGCTAGAGGGAAACCATATCAAGATGCTTCACATTGGCAAGATCCACAAATTTTAAAACAAAAAGCAAGATTTTATTATGATAGTAATCCACCAGCTTTACGTATACGAGATGTCCAACGAGAAGATGCTGGATTATATAGATGTAGAGTTGATTTTCACCGTTCGCCAACAAGAAATTGGAGAATTAACGTAACCGTTCTAGGTATATATTATATAGAAAATTTTTAAAATACACATACATATATATTTCTTGAAATAATAAAAATAATAATTATTCGCAGTTCCACCGAAAACTTTAACTATACTTGATACTTATGGTGCAGCAGTAACTGAAAATGTTGTCGGACCATATGATGAAGGAGCAAATATAAATTTAACTTGTATATCAAGTGGCGGTATACCACCGCCTAGAGTATCATGGTGGAAAGAACATGCTCTTCTTGATGATGGATATCAAGTTTTACCGGATGGAACTGTACGAAATATACTTCATTTATCAAATATTTCGAGGAAGGATTTAATGACGGTAAGTACAAAATTGCTTAAACTTAAATTCTAACATATAAAATTTTGACATTTTGTAGGTATTTACTTGTCAAGCTACAAATGGACATGTTGTAGCCCCACTTTCAAATGCTGTTAAATTAGATATGAATCGTAAGTATAAAATTCATATAAATTAGTCAAATTTATATAATTATTAAAAATAATTTTATAGTTCCACCACTTTATGTAAGACTACAAGGGTTAAATCATCCTCTTGCGGCTGGAGTCCGAACTCAAATAACGTGTACATCTGCTGGAGCACGTCCCCCACCGCAAATTGTTTGGAATAAAGGTGGTATTATTATGCGTGGTGCCACACAATCGGTAATTTTTGATTATTACCATAAGATTTCACTGTTTAATTTTTATTATTAAAAATTTTAGACGTCCCAAGATGGAAATGTTACCGTCTCAGAATTAGTTTTTATACCTGTTCCTGAAGACAATGAAAAACAAATTATATGCTCTGTTACTTCTGATTTTCAAAATCAATGGAATGTTGGTGGTATTGACAAAATGAATCATTTAGATAATAATGTTGCAGCAGCAATATTTCTTAAAGATTCAAGAACTTTAGATGTTAAACGTAAGATATTTATCGTCTTATAATAAATAACACAAGAGGGTAGAGTAGATCCCAATTAAATAATTCAAATTCCTTTTTTTTTCTATTTACCAGATGCTCCGATCGTTTCCCTGAATTTAGGTGCGCCTCTTGATCCAAGTAATTTAATGAAAGGATCTGATGTTTATTTGGAATGTGATATAAAATCTAATCCTCCAGCAAAAAAAGTTGAATGGTATCACAATGTAAGAGAGAAAATTTAGTACCAGAACAATTTTTGAATTTAGCATAAATTTTCTTTTAAGGATAAACAATTGCATTCTTCTCGAGGCATTATAATATCAAACCAAACACTGGTCCTTCAAGGAATTTCTAAAATAACACATGGTCAATATTTTTGTAGAGCATCAAATATTCAAGGCACTGTATCAAGTAATGAAGTTTATTTAGATGTTAAATGTAAGTAATAAGAGACTTTTCACAATTTTAAGAGATCTTAAAATAATAAACAGTGTTTTACTAATTATTTACTGAATTTTTTTGTATTTTAGATCCACCAGTTTGTAGAACTGATTCAACAATAATTCGAGCTGCATTGAAACAAATCGTAAATATTACATGTGATGTTGATTCAAATCCACAAAATAATTTAAGTTATAAGTGGAGTTTTAATAATTCTTTGGAATCAATTATTGAATTACCACCAATATTACGATATTCAAATCGAATTTTATCTTCAAGTGATAATATCAATGATATTGGATTACCTGATTCAGAGGATATGTTAGATGATGATTCAAATACATATTTAGATGAAAAACAAATGATGGAACAACATGATAAAATAGGACCTAAATCACAAATGGTTTATTCAAATTTAGTTCATCAACAGCAATTAGATAAATTAAGAAAGCAACAACAACAGCAACAACATTTTCAATTATATCAAAATCAACAAAGATCAAAAGCATATCAAATGAATCATAATTATCATAATACTGCCAATAATAATAATAATATGGATCAAGATAAATTTAATAAAAATAATCAAAATTCATATAATTTAGAAAATTTATATCGGTATCGTGTTGAATCTTTTACACATTTTGGTACTGTTTCTTGTATTGCAAGTAATACAGTTGGTCAAAGTCAACCATGTTTATATCATATCACACCAGCTGGTAAGATTAATCAAAAATATTGATTATTCTATCTCATATAATTATAATAAATTGTAATGTTTTTAAAAAATTTTAGAATTACCAGATCCTGTTAAAAATTGTACAGCATATAATGCAACAGCAAATTCAATTCATTTAGTTTGTATACCTGGTAATGATGGAGGTATACAACAACATTTTCATGTTGAAGTATACGATGAATTAAATCGTCAAATTTTATATAATACAAGTTATAAATATCCTGAATTTACTATAAAACGTTTGCCAAGTGATTCTGTATTTGTTATACGGGTGATGGCATATAATTTACAAGGATTTAGTAATCGAGCATACAGACTGAGAGCAAAAACATTATCAGCTCCACTTTTAAGAACAGGTAAATATTTAAAAAAAAATAATATTTTGGTTCTGCAACCAAAGCATAAAATTAATACTCATATACATAGTACATATTTGTCTACAACCTACAAAAGTTTGCCGACGGTTGGTTTAAGAAATTAAAAATAAGATCAGGGACATCTGTAGTTTTGTTTATAAACTAGAAATCATACAAAAAATTCAAATTATTAATCATAAACTTGCGCTACTTACTCAAAGTAATTTAATTCTAAATTTTACTTAATAAATTTAAATTATTTAATAAATTTATTACAAAACTAAACAAAGAGAATTATTATAGTCTTGAATTTTCATTATTTATAACGATTTCAAAATAAATTTTCAATATAAATTATTTTAAATTGAAAAATATTTTATAACACTGAATTTTTTCTTATTCTATTCTTTTTACTTTCTTTTTTTCTTAAAATTTGACAATATCAATCTGGTTATGTATAAAAAAAAAATTATAAAATATTTATAAATTATAATTAGCATCATCAACAGCTGTTCTAGTACAATTAACACCATTATTGGGTGCATTAGTTGGTATTGTAATAACATTAATATTAGTTTCAACATGTGTAGTTCTTATTATTAAATTTCGTACAAAAAATCATAATCGAAGACCACGTAATCATTCGAGAAATGATACAACAACAACTGAAGCTGATAAAGGTAGTGCTGAACCATTAAGCCGTAATATGGGTAGTCATTCTAGTTTAGAAGATAAAAATCCAGATGTAATACCACAAGAAAATAGTGAAGATGAATATCATTTAGAAGAGAAAGTATTTAATCGTATGGATTTTGATTCAAAAAGAAATTTATATACAACACCAAGATTAAATTCAACATCACCGACACCATTATCACCAACATTTGCTAAACAGGTAATCATATTGAACTTTTTATTATAAAGTACAAGCAATTTAGTTGCAGGGGGTTTGAAAAATTAATAAATGAATAAGGAAAAAATTGGCATATTTATGGGGAAAAAACAGTTTTCATGTTTTAATTTTAAGAAAATTTTCTATGTATGCATGATCAAGCCTTCGCTTGTTTCAGTAAAAGAAATTTCGTGAAAGATACGAACTGGTTGACTAAGACCGATGGCGGAAAAAAAAAATGTCACTATTACTCCATCTTTGAGCTCCTTAATATTATAACTGCTATATTTTGCAGTTTTAAATCATATACATAAATAATAATTAATTTTAAAGTGTAGAAAACAGTCTATTTTTAATTTTGTCGGAATTGTTTATAAAATAGTCAAATTGAATTTTCAACTTTCTTTTTCAAAAATTGTTTTGTGGCAATCTAAAATAAACAAAAAAGAATTAAAATTTAAACGACCGAGATAAATATTTGAGTTCATAATGGGTTAAACACGAGTATATTTACACCTCTTATTATTTTGATAGTAAATAAAAATTGTTTCACCTCCGTAATGAGACAATATTTTTATTATTCGTTATCAATTTTGCATACCGTAACTGTTACAGATAACTGTTATCATAATTGTACTGCATGTACGTAATTGTACATCACTTTAACTTATTGTTACAACTCGAACTGAAATGAATAGCAATAAACAATTTAGTAACAAAAAGTTTTGTAACAAGTTGCAAATTTTTATAAAATTGTGTTTCTATCTTAAAATGTGCACTGTAAAACTACTTCATTTAGTAATTAAGATGTGCAAATATTCACAGTCAACAAAATGAAAGTAAAATAAAAAATTTTTCACGTAATTTCTCTTATTTTTCAACAAAATTTATTATGTTGACATACAGATATAAGCCTTAATTTAATATCCAGTTAGTCTAAAGACAGTAAATATAAATTTACCATAATAGATTCAAAGTCTAAACGATATTTTATCTACATTTTACTGGTAAGTGCAAAACAAACAAGTGTTTATTTACTTTTCTTTTTGAAAAGAGAAATGGGAAAAGGTAATCTTAGGCAACACTTTTCGGAAATTTTTTAGAATCTTTATCCTAAGTTACATCGCTTTAATCGCTAGTATCTCTGATAAACTTCAACACTGCACCTGTAAGTCACAAAGTGCCACAGTTCTTATTTTATCAAAGAAATATCAATTTGTCAAGTGCCTCACGGTCCTATAATAGGATACCTCATTTTACTCTTTAGTAAAACGAGTAAATTGAGGGCTAAGAGACCTCAATTTCCATCCCAACCTTATCCCTCCATTTATAAAGTTGGAGAAGCAATTTCAAACCATTGCTTTTCAGTCTCAAACCGTTTTAACAAAATCATTCACCTTCGTAGTTCAAAATGAACTTCTTTGTGTGAATAAAAAAGTTTCATGCTACGATTTTAATCAGATCGTCTTGTCACGCCTTTCCTGCTATCCAAAAGTCGCATGATTGTCATCTCAGGAAACATTAAACACGGCTCGAATCCAATAAATGTAATCTATACTCATTCCATATTCAAATGTTATGAAATCAAATTTCGTATTTTTCTTAAATTTCTTTCAGACTTAAGTCCAATTATACAAAATATTTGCCTTAATATTCATTAGCATTATTATGTAAATAAATATATATCATATGTATATAAAAAAATGTAGATAAATACGTTAATCCCATAAATTGTATTTTATCAGTTATAAGCTTGTGCGTACACATTGTCTGTCATCGCTTGATTTCTTATTAATTGATAATTAAAAAGTGAATTAAAAAAAACTTCAAAATTTAACCGGTGCCCAGTGATAGTATGAAAAGCTAATTAAAAGCTTAATTATTCCATGCTTTCATTTTTCTAAGTAGGTACCTACAAATAATAATTATCAATTTGTGTTATATAGGATTATGTTTTATGTATCATTTAATGATTGAAGAATAATTATATATTATGTTACGGGGATTCTTATCAAAAATATAATGTATAGATGTGCATATATTTCACATAAATAATTCTGATTAATTCTACAATGAACAAGAAAGAATTTTTAACTGAATTCTAAAATTAATTACGGAGATTATTACAATAATTTTTGAGCTTTCTAACGTTTCTTTAAGCTCACCTAAGACTCCAATTTTACATTACAAGTTATGATTATTATAACATATATTAATAAAAAATATGACTAAAAACTATCTCGCTTAAAATACCGAACAAATTATTAATAATTAATTAATTTAAAAAAAATCACCCCTAATAATTTTTTTGTTTTTGTATTTTAACAGTATGGAGAATTATCTCTAACAACTAATCCATCATATGCTCTATATAATTCACCACAGAGACCACCAGCAACACAAAGACCAGTTTATACAGATCCACCAGAATTATCATCACCACGTTCCCAATGTAATATTTATACAAAAGTGCCATCAAAAACATCATTTTTACAAACAGCAACATATGATACAAGATTAGCATCACCAACATCACCATTTGAACAAACAACAATACCATCAATTGGAACAGGACCTACACAACAAACAACAATACCATGTACATATTCATCATTAAGCAGACAAACAAAACCTACATCAAATTATAAAAGTTTAACATTAAATGTACCAACATCAGCAACATTATCAAAAGGTTTTAAAAATGGTACAAATAATATTGTTGGCGGTAATAATATATCAAATATGATAAGTTCAACTGGTCCAAAAGGTATTATTACAACATCAACACCAGTATCAACACAATCAACAGCAGCTATACTTAAATCACCATATCAAATGTCAACAACAACAACATTATTAATTGATAAAGCTGATAGTATATTAGGAAATTATGAAGAGAATTCCTGAGGTTTACCTTATGATGACATTAATAAATGTCAATTAGTATGTATTCGTGGTAATAATTCGAATATATGTACTAGTTCAACAGAACGAACAACAATCGTTTAGTATTAGCAAAATATTATTAATAAAAATAATAATTTACAAATTTATATTAATAAATTTTTACTTATATAATTATTTTATTTTTTTTTTTTTTTCATTCTTTATTATTTTTAAATAATATAATTAAATGTATATGTAATGTAATATATATATATATATATTTATTTTTAAATGTATAAATATTATATAAATAATTTTACGTTTTACGTTTATAATATAAAATAATTTTTAATATAAAATCTTTGTATAAAAAAAAAAAACAAGAATAGGGTAAATATATATGTATATATATATGTGTATATATGTATGTATAACAAAATTTTTTTTGTTTAATATGGAATTATAAATTACCTATATATATATATGGAATATATATAAAAAATATTATATAAAATATAGATGACCAAGAACAAAATTTAATGAAATAAAATTAATAAAAAGTGTAAATTTTAAAAAAGATATTATTAAAAAATTTAGAAATGGAAAAACAAAACATAAAAGAATTTTAAATAAAAACTATATATATATGTATATGAAAAAATGTATGAATTTTGAAATTTTATTTTAAGAACGGTGCAAAAGATAAAAAATAAATTCAAAAAATTAAAAAATATATATATATAAATAAAATAAGAGTCAAAAATAATAATTTTTGATAATGTAGTTATTATTTAAAATTGAACTGTATAATAAATAGATTATAAAAGATTAAAAGGAAAAAAAAAAGAAAAAAAAAAGTCAAAAATTACCATTAAAATTGCAAAATAGTTTAATAAAAATCAATATTATAAAGCAAAAAATTTGTACAATTTATTTCCTTCGAAAAAAAAACAGATTATTGAGATCATTTCAAAAATTAAGAATTATAAATTGCAAAACGGATTCTCGATTAGTCACACATGCACATAAAACAAATTTGCTAAAACAATTTAACGTCCTAAATATCTACCAGTTCTCTGAACCTACAATAAACCTTCTAACTTTAAACATTTTTACAACATTTGTTAAAACATTAAAAATGCTTTAGACCTTTAAAGACTAATTGCAATTTTCGAACCGATTTTATACATTTTATTTACTGAACGTGCTTTAATATTAAGATCTAAATTTGAACTGAATTATTAACCAACATAAGCTTGAAACCAAGCCTGGTATATTGGACTGATCTCTGTTGGATATACACAAAGTATAACACTGATTTTTTCAACAATAACAACACCAAAAACAATAGTAATCTAACTAAATAAAAGAGTATTTGACAAGTACCGCAAATTCTTATCGGAATTTTCAAAATTATTCCCCAAATAACATTTAACTTCCAATTTTCGTCAAATAAATTTATATACATAGCGCCATTTCAAATATCAGTATATAATTTCTGAATAAAATTAAATATTGCATATTTGAAAAATTAACATTTAACTTACAAATTACTTTCATTAGTAGTATTCCATAAATGGAACGAGAGACGAGAAGTAATTAATATGATAAGTTCCCTTTTTTAAGAATAAACATAGATGTTAATCTAATTTTTGGAGTAAATTAGAACTACGACAAACTTGTTCCTACTTTCATACGTGTGTAATCGAATATATGCTTATTTGTATTATGGATCTTTGCTACACTAGTCAAAATGAAACCAAAAACAACAATAATATGACCCTTATGGTATTCAGTACACTAACAGCCAAATTTTTCTTCTTTAAAAATATTAAATCCAGATATTTAAACTAAAAATAAAAAAAAATCTTATATTAAAACCATGTATGTACATTTATATTAACTAAATTATTATTAAATATTTTTCTTTTAAAATTAAGTTTCTACAAAAATTTTTAATATGTAAGTATTACAATTATAAATTTTATTTTTCTTTAATTCTATTTAAACATCTGGAACTGTGACATTTATTTTTTTTTTGATAACCTTTTCTTTATACCTACAATATTATATTATTATGCAATTTTTTTTAGATAATAAATCATTTAAATTTTTACAATTGTAATTTAAGTAAATATAAATTTTTTTTTAAATTTTTAATTATATAATAATTATATATTAGAAGCTGCTATAATAAAAATTAATAAGACCAGGTCAAATACAATGATTCAAGACAAAAATAAGTATATGTATGTGAAATACTTTTTGCATTTTAGTAATATCAATTTTGAAAACAGGAACAAAGGCAATTTTAAGAGTTTGTTTGAAGCTTTGATTAATTAATAATAATATATAGAACAATAAGATCTGGTATTTTCAATACACATTTATATAAAAATGCATTCATAATGTATATAAGAGTCGAAAATTTATGTCGAAAATTTGTGAGGAAAAATGTTACATCCCTCTTGTAAATCGTTTTGTATATTCAAAATTAATATAGAAAGCTACAGTACCTAATTATATTTGATATTTACTGACTAAATAATAAATTTCTTCGGAATATCAAAAATCAAAAACGAAAAATTTCATTCATCATTAATTAATTTATCATTGTACATTTATATTATTGATGTCATAATATTATCAAACCAATAATTAATTAAAATTAAACCCTTAAATCTTATCATTTACAAAGTTTATTGCATTTCAAGGTTTATAAATAAAATTTTTATTTTAGAATAAGACCGATCGATATATGCAAAATCTTTCAAAAAATGGGAAAATAAAAAAAAAAAAAAACTGAAATTTTTTGGTTATTTTCCTTTAAAGAATAAGCAATGTACTATTACTAGCTTCTACTGAACATGGAATTGCCACCGAAAAAAAGAAAATTATTTCCATTTAAAATTTATAATTATAAAATAAAAACAAAAATTAAGCCCTGTACACTGTAATTAAAGCCACAAATACGCTATAAATAATTTTTTATTTAAAGAAAATTTAATATAAGCTATTAATAGCATTGACAGATCATTGATTCAATAATTAATTATATGCACTCTGATAATAATTATTATTTTGAATAATTGTTATTTTATAGACAATTTAATATTAAATATTTATTAAAATGATTTGAAATTCTTAGAATTTTATTATCTTTATATTTTTTAATTAATTCAACCTAATTTTTCCACTAGTACTCATATATTCCTCTGTTTACGTGTATGTATTTATTTTGATATTCTTGCATGTGATGATGATAAGAAAAAAAATACGGAAGAAATACAACTGTAATATGCATTGTTATTTTGTTAGAAAAATTGTTATTTTACAAAATAGTTATAGAAATAAGGAAATTAAATTATATTGAATTTAATATTGTGTTCCATAAATATTATTGTTTTTAATCATTGAAAAATATATTGTTATTTACATATAAAACTATACTAAATATAACTTATAATTAATATGAATCACCATATTTATTAAATTGAATAATAAATACTTATAATTTGAATATTTTTCCTATGTTTCTAAGTGACAATATACTATGCCAAATTCAAAAAAATATTAGTAAATTTTTTTATGAAATTTTTGATTTGCAAACTCTCCTGCTTGTTTTACTACACAGCCAGTCAAAATATCTCTGAACCTTTCATATTTTTTTAATTTTCTTTCCATTTTTTGTGTCTTATATGAAAAAAAAAAAAGAATAATTTTACTACCGAGGTTTCGGTATGAAAATTGTTTTAACAAATAATGATCTTTCTGGTTAAAATTAAAGTTAGTTCTAGGTCTAAATTACTGCCTTAATATAACTTTGCACAGTTCTAATTAAAAACCAAAATTCAAAAATTCAACTACATATCAAAATCTCGGAAAATTCAACGTAAAATATTTAGAACTGAAAATTTCAAAAATTTTATTCTTATACATAAAACCAATAAAAAATTTCATAACACTTTAAAAATTATTGTGCGTCTATATTATATTACGCACATAAGTACTTAATATTATCATTTTAATAGTCAATAGCCACTCAATTAATGTTGATAACATTAAAATTTAAATTACAATAAAATAAATTTCTTTTTAATTAAGAACATTTAAATATATTCTTTATATTCATATAACATTTAAAATACAAAACATAATATACATATGTATACCTAGATATACAAAATTTAAATGAAAATAATTTATAAATTTATAACACTAATAACAATACAAAATCTCAAATATATTTATGAATGTATGTATATTAAAAGAACAGTAAAAAAATTTAGAGTAAAAAAAATAAATACGAAATTAAAACGAATAAACTAAACTCTGATAATCTTTTTAAATCGTGAACATACGTTTCTCTGTTTCTTATGAAATTTTTTTTATAATCGTGTATATTCGCCAAAAAATACAAATAACAATAATATACATATGTAGGAAAAAAAAGCTTTCCTTTTCGTTTCAATTCCAACATAAAATCATGCATAAAATGTACCTACAAATTTAATTGGAACAGTATATAGAACAGATACTTTAAATTCTACCGATCAGCGGATGGTAACAAATTATTATTGTTCTTGTTTGTATTGTAAAACAAAAAAAAAAGACCAAATTCAAGAGAGTTAAATTCGCATATAAAAATCTGTTTATAGAACAGTTATTATAAAAGTGTCGTTAATAAAACAACTAAAAAATTTTTTATAATTAAAAAAAAAAAAATATTAAATTTTAATATAATAATTGAAAATAATATAATTTGGAATAAAAACAAAAAAATTCATAAAATTTTAAAAAATATTTTGGAATATTAAAATAAGAAAAATTAAAATTAAAAGTAAGTGTAATTTAATTACAATTTAATTACTTATTTCTTTTATTAAATTTAATTAAAAATTAAAATATTTTTAAACAAAAATTTTATAGCATAAACAATTAAACTTCTTCAAATTAAATAGTTTTAATAAAATTTTGATAAATTTTCATTTGAATATTTAAAACAAAGAAATTTTTTTTTTTAAATTAAAATTCAGAAAAACTTACACCTACATTACATGCGTGCGCATAGTTTTCCTACTTTCGGCAAAGTATTGTTAACTAAATTACATGTTTTGTATTCAATAGTCAATTTTAAATAATAATTTGTAATAAAAATTTTAATATTAAAATTAATTTTTTAAAAAACACTTTATATTAGTGTCTTCCTTGAAAATATCCTATTCGAAATCAAATCAAAAATTTTCCAATTTTAATTTTTTTAATTTCTTAATTAGTGTTATATTGAGCTCCATTACTACTTAATTGTTTCTTTAATAACCCTTAAATAACATTGTTTTAGTGAATATAAATTTAGCAACTTGTACTTTATATTAATAAATAAAAAAATATTTTTGTTTACTATGGAAAAGTACACGTTATTTTCCTATACATTTTAAAACATAAGTAAATTATTAATCAGCGAAAAAAAAAAAAAAAATATAAAAAAAATTTTATTCATAATAGGTACTAGAATAGTATGGGTCATTTGAAAAATACAATCAAAATTTGATTAAGCACATATGATGTAGTGAAATTACAAAATATAAAATAATTAATTATAATTAAAATTATCATTAATTGTATATTATTAAAACTTATGAGTTATAATTTAATATTTAGCATTCTAAATTAACTCATGTTTAAATTTGATAATTTTATCAACTTTTATAAATATCATAAAGGTAAAATTTTAGCAACTAAAATAATATTATTAAAATTTGTGTAAGAATATTTATAATAACAAAAATGTAGAAATAAATTCTTTAATTCAAAACGTAATAAAATCAATATTATATATAATTCTTCGAAAATTATGGAAAAAAAAAATTGAACTCCTCAAAAAACAAACATATTGCAGTTATATAACAATCTCCGCACCATATTAAAACACGATTATTAAATAAACTGGATTTGATATTACGTACAAAAAAATTTATCTTTTTTAATTTAATATTAAATATTTATTATAATTATATTCCTCATAATATTTTATGATCTTTATTCTGTTTCTCTTATCATCATTTTGCTGATTAGTAACAATTCGTATATAAAACAATTGCAACAATTTTTCTAGAATAATCAGTATAATGTAGTATTATCAGCATTATGTATTTAAATATAAGTTAAATAAAAGTTTTTGTCTTTTTTGTATTTTATTACCATTGTCTACTTAAGTATTTAAATAATAATAAAATTAATTTGATTTTCTAATAGGCTTCGCATTTTAATACATTATTTTACTATTAAATAATAGAAACTAGATAATATAACCTAATAACTAATCTCAATTTTAAATCATATGCAATGTAAAAAATTTCATATCAATATAAATTTTAAATTATCATTATATAAACTTTTATTTATTTATTAATAATTCAAATAATTTATTTGTTCTTATATTTAATGGTTTTTTTTTTCTTAAATACACAATGGAATTTAAATAAAATTTTGGATTGTTCGAGCTATTTCTATTTTGTTTTAGTTAAGCACGTTTATATCACGTTTACAATACATTTAAATTTTGTTTAATCTATTATAATTAGATTATTTATTTTTGATAAATGCATAGTATAATGTACATACCTAGATTACATTAGATTTTTTAATATTAGAAAGAAATTTATAATTACTATAAATGTTACTATAATTTAAAGTCTATCACAGGCCTACCCAAATATTTTATACTAAAGATTGGTTTTTTTTTATCCAACTATCTCGAGATCTACCCATCTAAAAAAAAAAAAAATTAGATATTTAATTAATTCAACTTCAATTCATTATACCTCATTTTAAAATTAAATTTTTTAACAATTTCAAATTAAAAAGCTATAAATATGTAAGTGAGATATAAAAAAAAAATTAACAAATATCAAATTAATAAGATTTTTGGTATTTGTTTTGCCGATACAATTTTTTCAATGTTAGAGTTGTATGAAGACAGAGCTAATCTCGGATTATTGGCAAAGATATTTAGAGTATTCATGTAAAAGGCGTAACAGATACAAAGTACACCAAACCTATACAATTTCGTAACTACTCCACCTATAAAAAGGAGCATTACAATTATTTTATTTGAACGTTTCTTGAATTTTTAATATTTAAATTAATAGATTAATCGTTAAAAGGAATTTTACATAAAACAGAGTTCCATTTACACACTAGTACTTTCATCTGCTCCGGACTAGCTTCAAATGTTAATTTTTTTTTAAAAGAAACGCAACCTATTTATATTATATTTCATTATTACAAAATAATCTTTAATTAATTTTTGAATTAAACTATAATTAAACTAATTATCTTAAAATTGCAGTAAGACTGCTATTGAAAAAAAAAAAAAGACCTAACGGGAAAAAAATATATTTTTCATATTTTTATCAAAAATTGTTTTTGAAAGAAAATCTAGTTCTATATATAAAAATATTATTTTAATTATTTACAATAACAGTAAAAAAAAAGAAAACAATGTGCATTTAAAAAAAAGAGATAAGTTTCAAAAATTATGAAAGTAAATCCTTCACAATTAAAAACTTGTTTATAAAAATAACTTATTTATTTTTTTTCTTTTATTTACTTGAATTTAACGAACCAAGCTGGAGTATATAGGGTCAGTCAATATAAATAATGCACTGATAACAATTAAAGCATAAATAAAATCAGGAAATGACCTTAAGCATATTGCAAACAAACAAAAAATAACTACATAATATTTATAATAATAATTATTGATTTAATTATTATCATATTAAATTTATAGATTTGCAATACAAAATAGCTGGAATATAAGAACGACAACACATTTCTGAAAAATTATCAGAAATTTTTATATATTTTTAATTTTTATACTTTGTGTTAATGAACTAAATTTTTGTAATGTAAAATATATAAAAGAATTTATTTTACATTTTGTTTAAAAAAGTTATACAGTAAAGAAGGTTAATAATTTTAAAAAGAAAGAAAAGTATTTAATAATAATTGGGCCACAGCTATTTAATACATTTACAGCTATATTATAATAAGAAAATTCACATGAAATATCATCGGAGTGGATTTGAAATAGTTCTTCCAATTACTTCATACTTAACTAACGGGTTTTCACCATATTATGTAATTAATTGTATTGAATTAATTTTTCAAACACATTTTGTCGACAGCTTAAAAATTATACATAATTTCCTAAAAAAAACTGCCAATATTTTACTATGTTAAAACTATATTTTCAGACCTTGAACTTACCCTATAATAATATTTTTGATTTTGCAAAAATATTCCAAACTCATTTTAATTTCTTATGTCAAAAAGATAACTAGCTTAACAAAAATTATGGGTGTTATCAATATTATGATTCATTGTTCACATTCAACACAATTCTATTTGATTTAACAAAAAAAAAAAAGCAAAATTGCAATTAATTTTTAATCTTATCTTAATATTATTTAAATAGAAAGTGTTAGGGAAACATATAAAAAAAAAATTGACCTAATTTCATGTTCAATTCAATTCATTTAATCAATTAAAAATGCCTATAATTAACGTAAAATAATAATAAATTACATGTCTATAATTGATAACCCTAAATTTAAGATTAATCTAGAATTTATATTTATGTATATAATAGTTCATCCTCATTATTTATCCTATTTAATAAAAATTTTTAATGGTCGTCCATTATATAACTTTTCATAAATATATAAATTATAAGAAAAATTATAAATAATGAACAAATTTAATAATGGTCTCATGACACTTTCAGATACATAAAAAATGAAAATGAAAGTTTGTGTTATTGGAGCTGGAATAGCTGGTCTATGTTCAGCAAAAACAGCAATACAAAATGGAATGGAAGTAGTTGTTTATGAACAAGCTAATGAAGTTGGTGGAACATGGGTTTATACAGATGATATTGGAGTGAATGAATTTGGTATTGATGTACATAGCAGTATGTACAAAGGCTTACAGTAAGTATATAATCAAATTTTGGCAACATAATATAAATTAATTAAACCTACTTACATAATATATGTATGTATATATTTTTCTATCAAAAAAAAAAATTTAAAATTAATTTCTTTTCAGCACAAATTTACCGAAAGAGATTATGGGATATCCAGATTTTCCAATACCAGATCAAGAAAAATCTTATATTCCAGCATCCGATATTCTAAAATTTTTGAATTTATATGCTGATCATTTTAATGTTAAAGAACACATAAAATTTTTACATCATGTTATACGAGTTAGACCAAAAGCTAATCAATGGGAAGTTATTGTCAAAGATTTAAAAAATGATAAAGTAAATACAGAATTTTTTGATTTTGTTATGGTTTGTAATGGTCATTACCATACACCAGTTATACCAAATTATGAAAACAAAGATAAATATAAAGGAAAACAAATACATAGCCATGATTATAGGTTTCCGGATCCTTTTAAAGGTAAAAAATAATTAATGTATAACTTATTTTAACTCAATATTAATATTACCTTGTACAACTAATAAACATATTTAATTTTTTAAGGTGAAACTGTTTTAGTTATTGGTGCTGGACCAAGTGGTATGGATTTAGCAAATGAAATTTCATTGCTTGCTAAAAAAGTTGTTGTAAGTCATCATTTACCAGAACAACCAAAATCAAAATTTAGAAATAATGTTATTCAAAAACCAGATGTATTAAGAATGACTGAAAATGGTGTTGATTTTATTGATGGAACACATGATGATTTTAGTATTATATTTTATTGTACAGGATATAAATATTGTTTTCCGTTTTTAAGTATGGATTGTGGTGTACGTGTTGAAGATAATTTTGTTCAACCCCTATATAAACATTGTATTAATATTAATAATCCTACGATGGCATTTATTGGTTTACCATTTTATGTTTGTGCATCACAAATGATGGATTTACAGGCACGTTTCGTCTGTAAATTTTTCTCAGGTCAAAAAGAATTACCAAGTAAAAAAGAAATGCTTGAGGATACAGAAAAAGAAATGAATGAACGTTGGAGTCGTGGTTATAAAAAACGTCAAGCACATATGATGGGAGCCGAACAAGTAAAATTATTTAAGCCTAATTATTTATTATATATTAAAAAAAAAAACTTTTGTATTTACCTATCTTTCAGATCAACTATTATAATACTTTGTCAGAAAAAGCAGAAATTGAGAACTTAAAACCTGTGATCACAAAAATACATAATGAAAGCAGCCAACGTTTTATTGATGATCTAACGAATTTCCGTAAAGAAGTTTTTCGAATTATTGATGATGAAACATTTATTAAAATTAAATGAGTTTGTTATTATGTATATAGATAATAAGTAGGCCACTCTATACCTACATACTGTAGATCAACTCAAATATTAATATATTAATGAACGTGATGATAATATTGATATTTTCTTTTTATAAATGTGTAATTATTTTTGATATTTTTATTTTTAATTAATAAAATCAAAATTAAAAATATAAGAATTTTCATATGTTAATTTTTTTAAATGTTTTGAAGGTTGATGAGGTCGAATTGCAGAAAATTTGGAGAAGAATGAAAGTTTTTTTCATAAACAGAACTAGTTAATTAATATGAATTTACATAAGCTAACATAGTTCATCTGCAAATGACTTTCTGAATTGAAAGTAAACTTCTTTCTCAGTTTGAACAGCATGTCGAACGATTCTTCTTTCTTAAACTTTTAAGTTTATGTTTATCTTTAAGATTCCATGAATTTAGAAGGACAAATTTAATTGTTACTCTAGATATTGCAATAGTTCTTAAGGGAATGATTATTGTAGTGTATTTAAATAATCCGACATTGACTATTACAAATTATCAGAACTCAATTTTCGATTTGGTTTTTTCTACTATGTATGTAATTAGAAGTCTCTAACAATAGACCAAAGTACATACATACATACATACACGTTATGTATGTATTTATGCATGTACATATGTACATTCAAATGGTAAGATGCAAATAGTACTGTTCGCGAATAATTGCTAACACTTTAAAAATATTTAAATAAAAAATAAGTTTTTTGTTTTTTTTTTAGAATTCTCAGTTTATTATAGAAAGCACCAAATCCAAAAAAATTTATGTTCTCTTTTTCTTAAAAAAAAATTTACTAAATAAATATGTTTTATATATATATATATTATATTTTCTTTCTCTTCAATTTTCTTTTCTTTTTTTTCAAATTGCTTCACAATACAAATCAATACAAATTTTCTTTTCTTCAAATTATTTCACAATGCAAAAGTTATATGTACAAAGTTGAAATTATACAATTCAAAAAAATGATCTTTGTTTTAACAATACTTTCTTTCGGTTTCAATTATATAATTCAAAAAATTATTTCAATTTTGACAAAATGTATAACTCGAAAGTCGATACGTTGCGGTGAGCGATCTTCTATTTAGTCGTACCTCTTCTTGATGATTTTGTCCCTTTTATAATTTCTGGAACCAGCGGTTGAGTAAACGGTGAAGTTGTTCCTAGCCAGTCCCACTTTTCGGTTGCTAACGTTTTCTTCTTTTCTTTTACATAGATCATATGGTATAGTTCAACGAACCTGTAATGCAATGTATCATTCTTATATACATCGCAATACAAATTGTTGTTGTAAAATTCTACGTTTCTTCTTTTCTATTTTATGCTATTTTCCCCTTCCATTCTCCATTTCATTCACCTTCTATTTCTTTTCTTACTCTATTACACTTCCATCAATAGCTGACTATAACTCTAAACAAACTCATCTATGATCATAGGTGACAGTTGGCAGCATTGAAATATAATATTTGTGCAGAAATGATCGCTGCAAACTGTCACCCACCAGTTTTATTTATATTGTGATGTGAAGTGCAAGTTTTTTAAAGAAAGCAAAAAATCAAAATTTTACACAAAAAAAAATGGAGATTTATAGGAGCCGGAGCTCAAAAAGGAAATGCAGCAATGGAAGGAAAAAACGATGGAGGAGTGAAGAGCAACCAAAAAGTGCTGGACCGGCACTTGAAAATCCTATCTGGACTGGTAGATGCATAGCTGGAAAACATTGCAAATTCATGTAAGTATTTTATTGCAAATAAGATTACATGTTAAATCCAATATATTCAATTTTAGGTGAAGAACAAAAACCCGCTGAGTGGATTACACTGGATTATAGCAAATTTAGATAAGTATCAAAAATTTTCCTTCATATCAAGTAGTGTTTCTTTGTGGTTTTCTTTTGTTGTTTTCTTTTTAGGAAAGGAGAAAATTAACTGTGACGTCATGACGGAACATTCTCCCGGCCTTGGCATCCATGTTGAAAGATGGCAAAACAGTGACGTGCTGACGGGTTGCTGGAACATAAAAGGTGTGCTGCTGGTGAACAGTGATATTGATACCGAATTAGCCATGTTGTGATGATAATTGGTAAGTTTTCAAGTTTCGATTAAACGTTCCAAATGCAAGTTGTACCCATCACTAAAGTCATGTTCCTTTTAGGTCTTCACCTGTAACGAGAAGAGCAGAGGGATAGAAGGAAGAAGTTATAGCGCTTTATCTCGCTTTCCGGAAATTCAGGAAGTGGGACGAATTAGGATAAAGAAAAAAATCTATTAGTAATAAGTTAACTAACAAATTAATTTAAGTGTTACTAATTTTAAATTTTAAGTTAAATTTAAGCGTAGGTTAGAAATGTTTGTATTAGGTGCCTCTAATTCTTTTTTTTTTTTTTTTATCGTTAAGTAGCGCAAGTTAGGTGCTATTAGGTAGTGCGATGTTAGGTGCAACTCGGTAACGTTAGGTTGCGCGATTTCTTCCTGTTTTTTTTTTTTTTCGTTTTATTGCGTATTAAGTGTAGTGCCAGTTGCGTACGATTAGATAACGATACGTTACGCGATTTTTTTTTGTTTCTCAAAAATGCGATTAATCGGTCTCGATTGATTGCGTTTCGGTTTCATCATAATTTTCCATTGTATCTACTGGTAGTAAACATATCTTTGCAATCGAACGCTTCAACATATTATCCTTCGTTTTTAACGTAACAACTCGAACAAGTCCATCGGGACCAGGATGAATTTCTGTTATTCGACCCATCAACCATCGGCTTGGTGGCAACTTCTCGTCCCTAAGTAAAACCAAATCACCAATTTTCATGTTTTCAGTCCTTTTAGTCCATTTTGGACGCTGCTGCAATCGGTATAGGTATTCTTTATTCCAACGTGTCCAAAAGGTTTGATGCAATTTTTGCAATAGTTGCCATCTGTTCAATCTATTTTCGTTTAAATCCAGCAAAGAAGGCTCAGGTGGTGTAATAATTACATCACCAGTCAGGAAATGCCCAGGTGTTAGGGCCGTGCAATCGTCTGGATTTCTGCTAATTTCACAGAGAGGTCTAGAGTTTAGGCAAGCCTCAATCTGAGTTAGGACCGTTGAAAACTCCTCATATGTCAACTTCGCATTTCCGAGTATTTTTTTAAGATGCTGCTTTGTAGAGCGGACACCAGCCTCCCATAATCCGCCAAAGTGAGGCGAACCAGGTGGTATGAATTTGAAAACCACCCCCTCACGTTCGTGTACTTGTGCTAATTCTGATTTTAATTGCTGTAACATCTGTTTATGTTGTTTTGCAAGCTCTTTGCTAGCGCCGACCAAATTAGTACCATTATCGCAATAGAGTACCTCGCACCTGCCGCGTCTGCTACTGAATCTTCTGTATGCTGCGATGAATCCCTCACTGCTAAGGTCCGTGACCAGCTCGATGTGTATGGCCTTAACTGCAAGACATATAAAAATAGATATGTACGCCTTATATGTCCTCGTATTTTTGCCTTTATGAGTTCTCAATTCAAATGGCCCGCAATAATCAACGCCAGTATGTGTAAATGGCCGACTGGCCCTAACTCGAAAAGCAGGCAAGTCCCCCATGAGCTGTTTTTGAACTGCAGCCCGCTGTCGATAGCACGTGACGCATTTATGTATTTGTTGTCGAATTTGATCTCGTGCACCAATGATCCAAAACTTTCTATTTATTACGTTGAGCATAAGTTGAGCACCACCATGCAAAGTTTCGCGATGAATTTTTTCTAAAAGTAGTCGCACAAAATGGCTTCTATCGGGCAATATAATCGGAAATTTCTCATTGTAATTCAAATCTGCGTGTCGCAATCTGCTACCCATTCTCAATATTCCATTTTGATCCAGAAAGGGATTAAGCCTCGTTAAACGACTGTTCGTATGAATAAGTTTCTTTCTCCGCAATTGTGTCACTTCTTGTAAAAAATGTTTATGTTGCACTATTTGTATCCACATCTCCACGCTAGCGTTGAATTCTGACACCGATATAAATGTATTGCAATTTAGATTTCTCTTGGTTACCTTGGCGATGAATCTTTTGATGTAACTCGTTACATTTATGAGTTTTGTAAATGATGAATATCGTGTTTCCAATTCGTGAATCTCGTTGCATTCTTTATCATTTATGATCGTGTTGTGACACAGAGTCGATTTTCGTATCTCGCTATCCGTATCATGAAGTAGTATTTTAGTTGGCCAGTGTGACTCGGATTTCTGTAACCATTCTGGGCCGTTCCACCACATTTTGAAGTCTATAAGATCTGGTGGATGCATTCCCCGTGAAGCACAATCTGCTGGGTTTTCCTTTGAGGGCACGTGACGCCATATGTTTTTGCCTAATGTGTGATGAATCTCAGCGGTCCGATTTGCTACAAACGTGGTCCATTTGCTCGGGTGAGCCCGCAACCAAGCCAACACGATCTCTGAATCCGTCCAAGCTTGCACCTTCGATATATTTTCAATTTTCAATACTCGCTGGACATATTTCACAAGTTTCGCCAATAATGCCGCGCCGCTCAACTCTAGTCTTGGCAAAGATATTGTTTTTATTGGAGCCACCTTTGATTTTGCAATTAACATGCTAGTTTTTCGGCTTCCCTTTTCGTCTATGACAACCAGGTAGACCACCGCAGCATACGCCTTTATCGAAGCATCACAAAATCCATGTAATTCTATTTTATTTGCTGATGTTGAATAGTAGAACCACCTGTTTATACGTAGTGCTTCCAGATGAACAAGAGTCTTCCTGTAGATCTGCCATTCATCGTGCAAGCTCCTTTCTACCTCATCATCCCAGCCTGAACCCGAAAGCCATAATTTTTGTATCATTATCTTGGCCATAATGATACAAGGTGCCAACCAGCCGAGAGGATCGAATAGTTTTGAAACCTCCGACAATATTGTTCGCTTTGTCCATTTCTGTGAATCATTTTCCAGTAGGGAAATTTTATACGAAAATTGGTCGTTTGCTGGATCCCATTGTATGCCCAATGTTTTCACGGTTTCAGCTTCTTCAATTTTTAAAGGCCAATTGATTTCTCGATGTTCTTGTGGAAGGGCTTCTAGTAGCTCAGCTGCGTTTGATGACCACTTGCGCAATGAGAATCCGCCCGAAGTCATCATGTTCAATAA